TAAATAAATAATTTAAAAATGAATGGCAACCATAAGACCTCACATGTGTTCCATGATGGCATAGAACCAGCATATCTGAAGGACCATCTCTCCTATTGTTTCTGTCTGCCCCATAAGTTCATGCTTTGGGCCCCAACTATTAATCAAGGCCATCTTATGGGAGCCAAGAGGCCCCATAATTTCTATTGCAGCTCCTGTCCTTGGGAATGGCATTCCTCCCAAGCTCTTTCTCCAGGTCTTGGGCTACGATGGGGCATGCATCCACTGTCGAAGATGTATGTATTACATTTACATTAAAGAGTTTTTCTTCCTTGGTATAACTGTCTTTTATTACAGATATCAATGCAAGGTTCATTTTTAAATTATTTATTTATTTAAATTTATTGGCCACCAACTTGAGTAGACTCCAGGTGGCACACAAAACTAGAAAAAAACTTCCTTGTAAGCTACCCAGAGTAATTGATAAGTGGCCAGCCCTAGAAAATTAAATAATAAGCTAACAAAGAAGGAAGTAATGGAGCCATCTTGTTTCTTATTTCAGCCACTGGGAGCAATCACCACACAGCTAGCAGCTGGGATGGAGACAGCACAACGTCCAGTTTTCATACTCCAGACATGGACAGTTCAGCAACGCCCAGTCAAGGTTTAGAAAGGACTTCATGCTTTCTTAAGGGGAACTTCACTGTGATGGATTTAGCAAGAAAAGGGCCAGCTTCTGAGAGAGAACCTGCTACATCTTCTGGTCAAATCCAATGGTCATCTCATGTAACATTTCCAGTACCAAAAAGTAGAACATCAAATGCCAAACAGCCTGATTCTTTAGCAAGGATTATGCTTACTCAGTCTTACTCTTCTCCCCAAACTAGTATGTATCTTTTTATGTTTTGTATTTCTTACTGTCAGAAAAAGTAGATGATAGCCTACAGCAGGGTGGGCAAACTTCTGGTAGCCTTGAGATTGCATCTTATGTTTCACAGCAAGCTTGGGTCACAAGGATAGCAGTATTGATGCAAATGGGTGGATCTGTATCGCATATGTTGGGGCAAGATTTTGCATTCTTGTTTTGGTTGATTTTTTTCCTTAACTGTGTTCAGCCTTTTCTAGAATTTGTGTAAAGGTTTCTTTGGGTTCTCTGCCTCAAAACTACCATCAAAATTGGCAGCATGGTTAAAAGAGACCACAAAGAATAGGGCTGAGTACTTACCAAGATTATGCTCTAGAACATTGCTCTAATGGGATAATGGACTGGATGAAAGTGAACAGGCTGATATTAAATCTGGACAAGACAAATGTGTTGCTGTTCAGTAGGAAATCAGAGATTCCGTATGTGCTAGATGGGACTGCATTTCCTCTTCAAGAGTAAGTCCACAGTCTGGAGTACTCCTTGATCCTCCACATTGCAGATTTCCAAACTGCATTGGTGGTGTGAGGCACTTTTTCACCATTGCCTCTATGTGCCAGTTGCTGTCATTCCTGAGTGAGTCAACTGTGGTCTTAAGTATCTATGTCTGGTTTAGATCAAAACTAGATCTAAACTGCAAGCCTCTCTATGTAGTGCCACCTCTTGAAGATGGCCCTAAACTTCGATTGATATAAAATGGAGTGGGTAGGATGGAGTGTATATTGAGTAAACTAAACTGGGGGAAAACAAAATATATTCAGGTAAACAAAACCAATACTTCTCCCAATAGCTGCTGGAAGTTATTAAACTTTCTCAAACTAGATGTCAGAATGAAATAAATTTATAATGCAAATCTGATTGCCTTTTCCATATGAGGATAGGTTACTGTACTGCTCTTCGTTTTGTTGATTTAGGGTGTATGGCTCTAGGTCTGGAAACCTTCACTGGGAATAATAAAAAGACTTAATATGCACCTCAGATCTGCTCTCTTCCTTTCCTTAGCTCTCCTTGCTGTCTCTTTTCTCCTTCTTCTCAAAATGGAGCATGAAATTATCAGGAATAGTTCTGCCAAGTTACACAGCCTGGCAAGCATCAAGTCTTTTTAAATTTCTGTTTCTACAGTTGCTCTTTTCTCTGGAATAGCTACTTTTTCTTCACCTGCTTTCTACTGTTTGTGTGAGAGAAACTCTATCAGGACTTGAAGAGGCCTTCAACAAAGTAATTTTAACAATCTTCTGCCTGCAGTTACTCCATATTGTTGTCCAACAATTCAAATCAAATCTCTTGGATTTTTAGAATTGTAGTTTGGCAACCTTCACTGCAAAACTATGAATGCATAGCTTGCTCGGTACAGAGAAAGAGTTTCTTTTGACATACACAAAGTCCATGAACAAGCAAATGATTTCCACAAGGGTATTGCATCCTATAAAATGAGGTCATTAAGATAATGTAGAACATATTTGTCTTGCACTGACTGACTTTACAGCTCAAAATGGAGAAAGTTATAATAGCAATGCCAGCTTTGTTCACCCCATCAGGTTTTGCCAACATTGCTTGCCACAAATCTGACATGTGGGCAGAGCTAATTTGCGGGTATGTTGTTATAGGTTTATTAATTTCTACCAGATTTCTTCAAGATGATTTGCTGAATATTTCAACCTATGCACTTTAAAGAAGAAAAGCAAGTAACATAGAAAGTCAATCCTTATATTGGGGTCTGCAACATGGTACCCCACACCAGAATGCTGGCTGAATCTCTGCAGCCCCATAAAACAAAACATCAAGAGATTGATAAATTCATGAGAGATCACTGAAATCATGAGATTTTGAAGATTTGGGTTGGGTACTTGAGCCATTGGGTGATCACATGGAATGGTCCCAGGCAAACAAACTGAACATTGCCTTAACTTACAGAAAGAAGTGCTGAAGGTGCAAATGCATCTTTGGGGGTTAGTATGGCATGTTTTTAGCTGGACATGATGTGCAAATCCATCCATTATGATTTCATTCTTAGGGTGGGGTCACATATCACACTGAGCCAGTAACAAACATGATGTGTGAAGCAGGCCATTGATCTTATTCTGCCTGATTTCCTGATAATTCTTTTTAACTCTGTTTATGTGCGCTTTGTACTCAACCTACTGGTTATGTGAAACTGTCATTCAACAGAACAATCCTATAATATGCAGCATACAGAGGTTTACTCAGAAGTTAATCTCACTGTGTTTAATGTACTATTATATTCAAGCAGAGTAGATAAGAATTTCCTAACATTAATCATAAAGACAAGGCACAATGTGTTGTGTCTTCCTCTCATCCCCTCTGTATTCCTATGCCAATACATTTGGGGTATTTCATAGCAAGGATTTTACTTGCACCTATTTCAAGCTTAAAGTTTCCTATTAATACTCTGAACCATGGCTTCTTTCCCAAGTGTTTATAAGTTTTGTCAAGTTAGAAGCATGGGAAATTAACTAGCCTTCTATTAGATCTGCATGAATACAATTACTGTGTGAACAAGCTTTGAGAGATTCCTCCAGAATATTCAGATTGCATATCTAACTTCTTTCTGCTATGTTTCATTTATGAAAGATATTGATCAGCTGAGCAGAAACTCCAACGCAGAGGGAAGAATTTCCAATTCTGATATGGAGAATATGACAATTCTGAATATATCTAACAGAGGTGAGGAGAAGATATTTCAAACTCTCAGAGACATCAGCAGTTCTCAAGGTCCACGTCCTGCATCTGTGGTCTATAAGGGCGAAATGCCCAGCAATGGGGAGAAGGTATTACAAACTCTCAGAGAAAGCAGCAGTTCTCAAGGTCCACGTCCTGCATCTGTGGTCTCTGGCCTGGAAATGTCTAGCTTTTCAGGCCTCAGTGACTCCTCTTATGTGGTAGTGCCTGCGGATGCCAGACAAATGGATTTGTCAACACAGGACACTGATAAAACTGAAGCAACAGATATACCTTCTCCGTCTCTTTCAGCAACTACAGGTAAAGGAGAAAGATCTCCCATTTGTTTAAGATTTCAGAGGGTTCTTTTACTCATGTAAGGATAAAGCCAAATGTTCTAGATGAATATAAAAAAGTAAAGGGAAAAGGGAAAATAAGTTAGCACTGGAGAAAAAAAGTTATTCTGAAAATAAAAAGATGGGACAAATGGAACAGTATTTTTATATGACTGTTTTAAACAGATCTTTACTTTACAACACTGGCGAAGGGTAAAGGTATCTATGTTGCAGAGGGTTGGGGTTTTTTGAGTGAGGTCAGCAATAAAGATAATTTGGTTACCAAAATTATCTTCCTTTTATCTTATTGGATTAAAACAAGTCATATTAATAAAAGGTGGAGTCAATTAAGAAAATTAGATATGTCCTATATTGGTTTTATCTTAATGTAGGGAAGGTAATATATATGGTATTCCTTTGGGTTCGAAGAAGACACACTGCTGTGCAGTTCATCTGTGGACACGGAGATGGCTGTGCAGTCCCAGTCCGGAAGCACAGAACCTGGCACAATGGGGCCACTGGAAGTCCATTGTTGTAGTAACCATGGGTATTATTCTCTTGGTTTTCTTTCAGTTTTTGGTTGCACCTGTTTTCAAAACCAGTGGAGGCTTCATAGCACAGGGTTTGTCAGCAGGTTCTGTCAGCAGCCACAGCTTCTCATTCCCTTGGCTGGGTGTGGCATAGGGTTTCTTTCATAGCATCTTTGTAGGGCTTGCATGTTCGACCTGGAGGTCTCTTCCCAGACTCCAGTACACTATAGAGCAACTAGCAAGGCACACGGCGGTCATCCATTCTGATGATGTATCCCACCCACTGCATCTGGACTCTGATAATCAGGGACTCTGCTGGTGGACTCTGCACGTTCCAAGACCTCCAGGTTGGAGACACAGTTTTGCCAACGAATGTTGAGGATGGAGCAGAAAACACACATGTGAAATTTCTCCAGTGGTTTGATGTGTCTTCAGTACAGACTCACATCCATATAGGAAAGAAGCGATAATCACAGCTCTGTAGACTTTCATCTTTGTGGAGCTACAGATATTGTGTTGATTGGGCACTGTAGTATGTGGCTGCCCCAGTGCCTGGCTGGCCTTGGTGATCCTGGCCTTAGCAGACTTTTTTAAGGAGTCGGTTAGTAGATTGGCTCCTTTGATCCTCTCTGGATAAAAGAGAGAGACGTGAGATTGCCCAAGCTATTTCTCCTTGTGGTTGTTCCTTTTCCTCACAAAGAGACTGCAAGATAGCAATCTCTGGTGGTGGTGGTGGGGAACCTGGAAATGAGGGAATTCACCATAATTGCTCTAGCCACAAACAGAGCCTTTAAAGGACATTAGGTTCGTGCACTTCCCTTGCTAACTGTCTTCGGAAATTAACTGCTTATTAACTGCTTGAAAGAAGTTTGACACCTTCAAAGGGACAAGGTTGGAATACCCGGTGAATAAGTGCCTTCAAACCTCAATATAAGAAAATGAAGATTTATTTTTATAACTTTTATGAATTTAAAATAAACAGCAAAAAGCAAGACAAGGTTTTGGTTACAGAAAGTTTTAAAAAGACTAAGGGATCAGGAAACATTGGAATATTGAATCTTGAATATTAGGACTTTGAAATTATTTTTAAAAAATAAATGCATGTTTATCGGAAAAACAATTACCATGGCATTTAGAGATATCTTTGAAGGACTCCACTGAGGACTGTGTAGAGACGTTGAATCAGTTATGGCAGCTATGTTGTGTCTTTCTGAGAACAGTCTGTCTTCAGAACAAGAAGTTATAGAAAAACAAATTCCACTTGAGAACAATATGAATGGAACTTTGGATAAGAACCTGCTATCAGATGCAAAGAGAAAACTGTATGAAGTTTTAAAAACTAAGAAGGAAATAAAAAAAGACAATCTCAGAGAGTAATGGGAATAATGCTTTTTTGTTGGCTTTACAAAAGAGACAGTTTAAAGTATGGCAGAAATTCGTAATAAGGATCAACAAGTACTGGAATGGATTACAGAGAAAGACTATTTTGTATAAAAAAAGGAATACAAAGTCAGCTTATTTGACCAGGGCTAAAATGGGATATGTTGTTGTTCTGGGTGGTTCTTTTTTGATTTACTGATATTTTGATTGGAAAAATGTGGTAAACTGGATTTGCCTATTCAGTGTTTAAATTTTTTACTTTATAGCTATTTTCTGTGCCCTAATTGTTTAGTATTTAAATGCTTAGCATCTAATTGTGTGAATTTTTTTTAAAGGAAAAACTAGCTCTTTCTGTTAGGTTAAATTTTAGTCTTTTTTTCTTTTTTGTATTAGGATGCTGGGATTACTTTATATTTGTAGAATAGTTTAGAGTTGAGATATGGAACGCTTATTTGAATGGGATATGTTGCTATTTGGGGTGGTAATCTCTGGAATGGTTGGCATTTGGAATGGGTTGTATATTGGAGTTTGTTTTGAGTTCATCTGCAAGATTGCTTTCTTGATCTCATCGGTAGAGGAAGGCAGGTCCAGGGCATCCAAGACTGATGGCTGAGGAATCTGCTGTAAGACATCACAATCAACTGTGGATAGCCTATTGAGTAGGTTGGTAAAGTGTTCAGCCCAGCGATTTTTCAGTCTTTCCTGGTCTTCGATCAGGCTTGACCTATCAGATGACAGCAGGGGGGAGCATCCTCATTTAGAAGGACCATAAACTGGCTTTATGGCGCTGAAGAACTCTCTGCTAGCATGCAAGTCTGCATAGCATTCCACCTGCTCAGCCTTTCTCTGCCACCACTCGTCCTGCATTTCTTGCAGTGCTTCAGACTGCAGGTGCTTAAACTTGTCTTTCTTTGAGACAGATGACGGATCATGCTGCCAGTCTGCATAGGTCTTGTTCTTGGCTTGGAGGGCTTCTGAAATGGTCTCATAGTTTTCATCAAACCAGTCTTGATGTGCCTATGTTTTCAGTTTGAGTAAGTTGTTGCAGTCTGTGTGATGACATCTTTAAACTGCATCTTCATTTTTGAGAACAGGTTCCTACAAGTGGTAAATTGCTGGAGAG